CATCTCTTTTGGGGGTGCCGCCTGGAAGGCGGGGCCATGTTCCTGCTCCAAGGTGGTGAGCGGCCTGGAGTGGTGCTGGCTTTGAAAGTCCCTCTGGATCATTCCAGGGACTCTTGGCTTCCCCAGCCCTTACCTGTGCCTGTCACCACCCCTCCACTCCTGCGGGAAAGCATGCATGCTCTCCTGGTGCCCCAGAGCCCCCACGCCTGTCCCCCGCTCTTCTCCAAAGGAGCACACCTTTCCCTCGATCACAGCCCTGCTCATTTCCTCCCTGGCTCTGCGTCTAATTAAACGTGATCTCTTTATTCATTTGCTTCCTTCCCTGAAGAGCCTCCCCGCTGGACTGGGAGACCCACCAGCGGAGGGAGATCTCTTACCAGTGAGTTTCGGTGCCCAGCACGGCGCTCGCCTCATAGTAAATAATGTTGTCAAAGGAACGTTTGTTGAATGAATGTTTGTTGAGAAATGAATGAACGAGAGTATTAAGGACGCTGGCTCATCAGTGTTTCCATTTTCCTCCCAGACAGCGAGCCGCTTGCATGCGGGAGTTGGTTTGTCACAGTGCCGCGTCTCTGTTGCTTTTACTGGCTTGACATTCACAACACAGGCAGGTTGAATTGAATAAAGTCAAACCAGAGGAGACAGACTGGGGCTTCCCAAGCTGGACACCCAGGACGCAGCCCTCGCAGGCAAACTGAATACAGATGAACTGGCGTGGCAGGGATGTGCCTCGGGAGGCAGGAGGGTCAGGGAGGCAGCTTAACGAGAACGTGGACACAGTCATGCAGAGGGAGCGGAGGGGAACACACAGAGACATCCAGCCCAGGGGTCAGGGGAGACAATTCCAGACCCAGTTTACTTCAGCTGGGGTGTGACCTTGGGTAAGTGGCTTCTCCCCTCTGGGCCTCGATTTGCTCATCTGTAAAATGAGCGAGACCCACCAGATTATTTGCAAGGTTCCTGCCAGCTGAAACATTACCTGGTGCAAAGTTTGACATGAGAAAATACATGCCAGTTAAAAGGGAAGGTGACAAGCATCTTGCTCTGATTGGAGGCCTGTGGTCCAGAGTTGGGTCACGCTGTCCCTACCATGCACACCGTATGCGACCCTGCCAGCCCAGGCCCATCTCTACAGCCAGAGAAGAGCCAGACAAAGAGGGCCAGGGGAGTGCATCCTCCAGGCGCCCGGTGTGATGTCACGTCCAGGAAGAGATTAAGGTCCAGAAGGAGAAGGAAGCCCCCTGGATACCTTGCCCGCACTTCCACCAGCAGCTGAGGGAAAACCCCACCACCTGGACCCCCAGGTGGAGTATCCTGTTTGGCATCTTCTTTCTTCTCCCTAGAAACAGAGCAGCCTGCCCCGAGGCCACCTGGAAAAATCTAATGTCCACAAGGAGGTAGAAGCAAGCGCAGCTCCCTAATAAGGCCCTCCCTGGTCCGGGAGGCTCTGCTCCTTGAGCCGGGCTTGGTATTTACAAGAAGTGCAAGTTCAGTGAAGTCAAGTCCAATCAGGGAGCCGGGTCAGGGCGTCCCAGGCGAGACCGGATGCCCAGAAGGCAGCCTCTGTGTGACAGATAAGCAGACGTGACAGGGACAGCCAGCTCTGGAGCTAAGGCCGGTGGTAACCTCTTAAAATGACTCAATTTTAAATGCTTATGTAAGTCCCTACAACAGCAGCTTCAGGTTTGCCTCTTGGCCGACAAGGCCTGAAAGATTTACTCTCTGGCTCCTTTCCGAACTTTCACCGACCCCTGCCCCACGTAATCACCGAGCGCCCCTGCACGGGTGAAACGCGGACTCCTGCTGCGGTCCTGGCGAGCAGCACCGACCTTTACCTCTGCGCTCCATCCTCAGATGCTGGTGATGGGGACGGGGCGGGGGGACGTTCTCCTCCAGCCCGCTACTCCCGGTCCCCTCATCCTGAATGCCCTCCTCTCTTCCTAGCCACCCTTCACGGTCTCCAGAAGCGTCTCTTTTCTGCTCTTTTCCTCCTCACTCTCCCACCCCTGACCCAGAGCATTTCATTTTGGAATCCCCTGCAGGGTACTAATCACACATCGTTTTACATGATTTGATTTGCTGTACACCGATTGCTTCCCCAGTGGACGGGACGGAAAGCACCCGAAGGCAGGGACAGCGTCCCTAGCCCTGTCCCAGCATCCCCAGCACACCGAGGACTGCTGGGCCCAGAGGAACTTCTGAGCAGATGTGAGCTGCTGAGGGCAGCCGCAGGCAAGAGCACTTGAACATCCCAGGATCACATTCACTGTGCACCACGGACATCTCTGGAGGGGACGCTCCGCACCAAAGGAAACACTTTGCTCCGACCCCTCCAAGGCTGGAGGCATTCTTACTATGAGCATGAGAGTGAGTCACAGCCCAGTCTTACAGGAAGCTTCCTCAAGGGCTGGGACTCTGTTTTCCCTCGAGGAGTGTCCTGGGCAGGGTGAATCGGGGAGCTGGGGCTTTTAAAGCCTGTGACAAGACTTCTCTTTCTGAACCTGTCCTTGCTTAGGGCTTAGCAAACATACGGGCAGGAGAAGAAAGAGGGGGGGCCCGGGCGCTCTGCAGGAGGGCAGCTGTCCTTGCTTAAATGCACCACCCAGTGCATCCCTGCCCTCCGCGCGGAGGTTGCTTAAGATGGTAGATTATAAACCCGGGGATGGTTTCCCCGCTGTGGAAGCCAAGAGGCAACATCTGGATAAAAGGCTTGGCTGAGGCCCCTTGATCTAATCTCCCCAGGAAGGAAAATCAGCAGGGAAGGGGTGGGTGGGGGAGAGAGGACAGGAAGGGGCCCCTCACCTCAGGCAACCTGGGTGAGAGCGGGCTCCTTTCCTGCCAATCACGTGTCACACCAGCCACCAGGATGGCAGGAGTGAAACAGTGGAGCCCGTTTCCGGAATCATAGCAACAGGGTCACCGAGAAGACGGAGAGACTGAAATACC